CAATGTTTTATTAATATAATACTTAATAATTATTAAAATTTCGATGTTCTGTCGTTGTTTCTATTTAAGGATTCATACAACCTTAATGGAATTTATAATATAATGGGCTCGTGAATTAAAAAATGTACTCACCAATTTTAACCAGAGATTCGTGATGAGCAATTGGTTCTTCTCGTCCTAAAACAGATAAAATAATAATTATAATAAATATCGTTAAAAGGTGAATAGACAACGGAATAAAATAGTATCTATTCTAGCATGATTTAACTATTTCGCATGCGTCCAGTTGATCATCGAACACTTCTGACCTGAATCCAAAGCAATTAAAAATTTGGAGAACTCAGTTGGGAAAGAGCTACTTTCGGACGTGTTATGAGACTCTCACAAATGACTCATCTACGAATGTGGATCATCTCCACTCGTTAGGTTATTTATCGATCTCGCTTGAGATTACTAACTGGGTCGAGGTAATTAATAAAATGCAATAAGCTGGCTAACCAAGCTTTTGCTTTATAACGGGGGTGGGAAAGAAAATTGTGGACAGTCATTAATAACTGCGGCAAGTAGTCCTAATTACCATGTAATCATTTAACGAATCTCGCTGCAATTTGTGACGCGAATTTCGCTGACATTTTTAAACGATCATCCGCACCTAATTACTCCAAATTAAAATCCAGCATGCATTGCCATTATACATATAATTCTCTCCTTTTTACGTTTCACGTTTTATGAGAGTGAAAATAATTGGTTATTTTAATAATATTAATAGAATTATTTGATTCATTTCACGAATGATTTGATTTGAACAAATGTTGTCTATTAAGGCAGATCGTGGAACGGGTGAACAAAACTTAAGAGGGTTTAGCTCTCGGTTTACCGCTAGCCCGATGTCTCCGACAGTGTAAGGTCGGATTTAAAGGGAACTCGATCCTGTTCCCTACTAAATGACAGAATTAGTGATGTTAGTTTAAGGTTCCATTAATTTAATGATAAGTACTACAATTTCCAATATTGAATTTCGAGAGGCGTTTCGCCGGCGATGATTAAGATTCTGCTTGTAATTCAAAACTTTTGGTTAACATTAGCCGTTCCCCTGGCTTCCAATAACACTAAGTGCTCAAGCTGCGGTTGATCCAGCTTAAGAGAATGACGCGTGACGGTGGAACTCCGTCGAGCGTCGCGAGCACATCAAACTGGCACCGTCACCGGAACTTGTCAACTTTGTTCGACGCGAGTTGGTCAATCACGTACTTGTCGATTAAACGTAATTTACATTTCGAGGGAAACGTATAAATTTTCTGTGCGTAAGCAATAATTTCCAAGGCAGGGAGGTTTCACGTTACGCACAGCTGAAATTATCGAACCACGCAATTAATTTTAACGCACTGGGAACAATTCACGGCTCGCTGCAAGGACGTGATAAATGTCGATATTAATCACCAATTTGTCACCGGTTTGCAAGCTTCACTAATATTTGCCGGCTCATTATTACAAACGACCGTTGACATTTGAGTCCCGCTGGTAAGAGATACAATTTATTTCAATAAGGCGATTTTCACCTACGTTATCATTTAAACTAACAGCGACGCTTCGTCTTGGTTTTGAACGTCAAGCGTTGACGGTCGACCGGATCTGTTCTCAAGGAAGGTTCGGTTCCAGGTTTATCCCTTCGCTCGTTCGGTCACGAGATAAACAGTTTTTCGATAATTGGATCTTATCGTTCGCGCTCACCCCTTTCGGCAAGCATCCCCTGAAAACCATTCGAAATCTCCGCTCTAAATTCGTTGCGGTTCTTCCTCTGATACTCGCCGTATAATTCACGGTCTCCTTAGAACTCCCCTCGCATTCATGCCTTCGATTTTACGCGAGGCAAAGACTTCTTAACCTTCTTTATTTTAGCTGTAGCTGTAATAGCGATAGTGAGTTTAACAATAGAACTACCGGCGATTGAGGTATAAAAATTGACGTTGACCGGTAATAACTTGGTTTTCAAATTAATAAGTCATAAGAAAAGGCATAGCAAGTTTTACGTTTTTACGACTAAAAATTGAATAATAAACTAATAAAC